TCCAAATCGTGGACGTGGTTTCAGGTGGCAGTTTATTCACGGCAGATGCTGCACGGTACGGCTTAAAAAAGTCGATCAGACACTCTCAGTCGCACGGAACGCTGTTGTGTTGCTTGCACGAGAGAAGAGAAGGTTGAGGGTGGGCGGGTGGAGGGTGGGTCAGCGGTGATCCTGACTACGGCGGGCAGGGCAGCAGGCACTCCTGCGGGCACCCGGCGTCGAGGGCCTTCGCGTCGATGTGCCCCATGTTCGTGTTCGGCACGGGGTTCGCCCACCGGAGCGCGCCCACAGGGGGCTCGGCGTACGGGATCCCCAGGAACTTGTTGCTGCCGACGGAGTCGTAGGCGTAGCCCGTCACCGACCCGCCGGCGACGTCGACGGTGACGGCCCTGTCCTGGCCGCACGCGGCCCCGGCAAGCCCCACTGCAAGCACTGCGCGCAGCATTTCGTGGGGGTACTGCTTCTAGGTGTGAATTTCCTGTCCGGGGAAGAAATGCGTAGCTTTGCTTTGAAAGTCTTGGACAGAACACTGCCTCTCATGCATGAATACAAAAATGGTAATGGGAGTGTACAACTCCTAAAGTAGGGTATGAAACCCTGAGGGACAAATTTTCGGTGGCTGCATCCAAATCGTGGACGTGGTTTCAGGTGGCTTCGGTACGGCTTAAACAAGTCGATCAGACACTCTCAGTCGCACGGAACGCTGTTGTGTTGCTTGCACGAGAGAAGGTTGAGGGTGGGTGGGTGAAGGGTGGGTCAGCGGTGATCCTGACTACGGTGGGCAGGGCAGCAGGCACCCCTGCGGGCACCCGACGTCGAGGGCCTTCGCGTCGATGTGCCCCATGTTCGTGTTCGGCACGGGGTTCGCCCACCGGAGCGCGCCCACAGGGGGCTCGGCGTACGGGATCCCCAGGAACTTGTTGCTGCCGACGGAGTCGTAGGCGTAGCCCGTCACCGACCCGCCGGCGACGTCGACGGTGACGGCCCTGTCCTGGCCGCGCGCGGCCCCGGCAAGCCCCACTGCAAGCACTGCGCGCAGCATGTCTGGGGGGGGTACTGGTGTGAATTACCTGTACCGGGCATTTAGGATTGGGGTCTGTAAGCAACAAATCTTCGGCGGCTACATCCCAATCCTGGAAATAGCTTTCATGGCTATTCGATCGTGGGATTAGACAACACGTTTGCGCGTTGAAAGTCGGATGACACTCAGTCATACGGATCGTTGTTTTGTTGTTTGCACGAGAGGAGATTTAGGGTAGGTGAGCTTGCCTTAGGACACCTGCGTTAATGTGTAACAGATGTGCCGCCCCAGCCAAACTAGGAGGGTGCGTCAGCGCCAACGACCTGACGACGCGTGGGTGATCCTGACTTCGGCGGGCACGGCATCAGGGGCAGCATGCACTCCTGCGGGCCGTACGGGATCCCCAGGAACTTGTATCTGCCGACGGAGTCGCCGGCGTAGCCCGTCACCGACCCACCGGCGACGTCTACGTGACAGCCCTGTGGTCCTGGGTTGAAGAACTGGGATGAAGCGTGATGATGCAGTGGAAATCAGTTGGATTCCACTTGTTCGCTACAGCCCACCAAGCTGACAATCCATTGGCAGGCACAACGCGGAACGGAGGGAAAGAGAGAAGAAAAAATGCTGCCGGGCCAAGGCTTTGGCCGGTGAGAATACAACTGCGTGACGGGGGGAAGGAAAAGGAACGCCTCCTGAGCTGGGGTTTTGCACTGTTCGGACACGGAACTTTCTCTCTGGGTGGAAATATTTGTTTATGAACCAATTCACCTATCCTCCTTGAAAGCGACCTGACCTCGAATACGCGGTGATTACGACTACGATGCAAACTATCGCCACCGATTCTTCGCACCCTAACCCAAACTACAAGGATCGATCGGGCAGGAGGTGGATTGACTCAGCTTAGTGCTAAGGCAGTACTGTCTGGTGGGGAGGAGTTTCCCTGTCTTAGAACTTTTTTCCGTTGGCTTCATTCACTCCTTCTTCATGTGAAACCGTGGTTTCGGAGATTTCCCTTCAGTACAAATGGACTATTCAGAAGAAATGTGAAAACGGGGTTTTGCCTAGAGGCTTTTCGTGTTAGTTTGCATATGCTTTGAGCTATCTTACAAAAAAAACAAGACACGCAAGAACCTCCCCACCAGGTAGTATCCCCAGGGCTCGTCGAGTGTGCCAGCTTCAGAAGCTTGGGTAAAAAAGGAGTCCAGAAAAAGCGGGTGTGACACCCTCACTCCGTATTGACTTCGGAAGGGGTGAACGTTCTTGGTCGTTGCATTTTCTTTTTTTGGATACCTGCTTTGTAGGAAATACTTGAGGAGGCTGCCAGCTGCAATAGATCAAAGGAGGTAAAATGTGCTGTAGCCCATACGAAACACAGGTGCATCTGGGTTCAGTGGCGGGCGTAAGCAACAAAAAAAGACCCACTTTGTAGTTGTATTGTTTTCTCCCCCTCTGGCCTCCTTCGAAGTAAGCACAAGGCAGCCCCTCGAGTATTTTCCGACGACAGCAAGTGTCAGACTAGCCACCCGAAAGGCGGTTGATTTATTTAGGTCATTCTTTTCATTTCTCGGCGCGTCCGACCGATTTCGTTTTACAGAGTTAACGTTCGCTTGAGAATCCGGGATGTTAGACCATTTTTTCATGTGCGGGTATGCCGTGCATGAATGTGGTATCTTCCTTCAATCGCGGGCGATTGCGTGGCAAGTGTCTCAGCACAGATTGAGATGGTGCACCTGACAGCGACCCTAGGGTGGAAGATACGAATGGTTTTGGGCAACAAGTGTGCAAGTGTCAGGAGGCCATAACAGCATGAATCTCTGAATCCGAGGAGTGAAGATAACGACGCGCATCGGACTGGCAACGGGGAATGGCCTTGTACAAGCGTTGGGATTGGCCGATCCTGTTCGACAGCCCGTGCTCACGTAGCTCTTTGTGCCCGTAGCGTGATTCGAATCGTTGACACGCGCGTCGCTTTGCGGGTTTTGCGACGACACCGCACGCCGAACGCGTGCACCTGTTAGCAACATCATCATAACGCACAATCAGACCTCTCCCAATAGCTCGAGAGCACTCGGCGTGTCGTGCTGGACTCTCCGGCGTTCTGAGCGCCACTCTCCGGCAGAGCAAGGACTCGGGAATCAGACCCCCTCCCCTGCTTCGGATACATCCCCCAGGCTTTTTTTCCGGAACCGGCTTCCGTACCGCGCGACAGCTCCAACCGCAGCCTTTGTATATGGGTGAAAGAAGAAAAAGCTCGGACGGTTGACGACGCCCGCGGTACTTGGAAAAGACGGCAACGGCGGGTTACAGAGTGCCTGTTGACCATGCCCATGGGCCAACCCGGCGAGACCGCCGGGGCAAGGGAGGGTGGGAAGAAGAATGAATTCAGCCTTAGAAGACCCGCCTCAACCCACCGTGATTACCCTGTGGAATCAGGCTCGGGTGGTGAGCTCATTCTGCCATGCGCTTTGCTCCACTCATCTTCGCCAGAGCTCACACAACAATGAAATATTCCGGAGGCCAAAGCATCTGCTGGATGCATGCACGTGATGAGAGACCTAAGAGGTTGTCAGGGTAAATTCGCCCAACAGGTGCGCTTACAGAACGGGGGGACCGCATACAACTTGCGGGTTCGTCGTGGTCATGCTTTCGAATAACTGAGGCAGGAAGTTCCTGCCGGATACTAAAGTAGTGCCTAGTAACACTACATAAACTGATCCGGTTCACCTTCCGCTGATAGACGGTGACAGACTGCTGGTAGACTGTTGGTCGACAGCAGCAGGCAATTCACTAGTTCCAGGTGGACAGGCTTAATTCCAGCACACCGGAAAAGGCACAAGCGAAGACAAATAATCAGACGGCTCCATTGCGCAACTGATGAAGCTAGACGAGCAGTCGAAGGAGAAGCGAAGCACCAAGCGCGACGATCAAGACGAGCTGAAGAGGCGAAAGCATGACGAACTACGTGCAAAGAGATAAATGCGACGCCGGCGATGCAGATTATCGCCAGACAGATTCATTCATTTGCATTCTAACCCCAACTATGCTGGGATTCCCAACAAATCTTGAATGAGAGAGGGGGGGGGCTGAGACGAGGTCATATTTACAAGTACACTGCGTGTGCTCACCATCAAAACGAGCTCGCAAGCTTGAAATGCCGGTGACTGGCCACCCACGGATGGCTGATTCCTCCTGGGGTTTGGGATAATGCAGGTGACGGGCCTACCCGGATGGATGATTCCTTCTGGAGTTTGGTATAATGCAGGTGACTGGCCACCCACGGATGGCTGATTCCTCCTGGAATGCAGGTGACCGGCCTACCCAGGGATGGCTGATTCCTTCTGGAGTTTGGTATAATGCAGGTGACTGGCCCACCCAGGGATGGCTGATTCCTTCTGGAGTTTGAAAGTTTTCCCGTGCCCCAGGCTGCCTTTTCGCCAGAAACAGGAAGGGGCAGAAGGAGCCGCACTGGTCATATGCGCGTCTCTAATTAGAAGTCGAGGCAGCCAGCTACCTTAAAAGAGTCATAGTTACTCCCGCCGTTTGCCCGCGCTTGACCTGATCGGCCAACGTTGAGATTCAGGGCAGTGGGCAGAAGTCGCACTCCTCTCGCCACCATTGTATTGAAGTGAAATGCTCTGGTTTAATTAAACTGTTGAACACCTCTCTTGTTCGTGACAGGGACGCAGCAAGCGAGAAGGCCCCTGAAGAAATAGGGATCCGCGGGTAGCACACGAGAGCCACGGACCTATACACACACACACACACACACACACACACACACACACTGTGGCCTACCGATATTGGTGCCAGCAGTCGGTGCCAGCAGTCTAGGTGCTAACAGGACTGGCCATGCCACGCATAACCGCAGGATAATCTCTTTTTGGGCGCCATCGCTCGTAGCGAACCAGGCAAAAAAGCCTACCCCCCCCCCACGCGCGATTACGTTTCAAGTGCAGAAAAATTTTCCCGCCCGGCATGCGGCTGTTTAGCTCAGTGGTAGAGCGCGGGTCCCGTAAACCTGAGGTCGAGGGTTCGATCCCCTCAGCGGCCTTTTTTTGGGCTTTGTTTGCATCAATCCCGGCGTCGGAACGTTTTAGTGCCCCTGTACTGCAGGTCCCAAAGTTGGGGTCCCAAAGTTGGGGTATGCTAGCAGGAGCGTGCCAATACCAAGACTGTTCGTGCCGGGTTTCGCCGGAGGCAGCGGCAGCAGCAGCAGCAGCCCGAGGAATCTTTCTTGTTTGGTTCCTTCCGACCCTAGCAGCCAACAACTGCCAGGGGGGTCTTTGCGCATGTCATCCTCCGTTTCGCGCTGGGCGGCGAGTTCGTCTCGAAGCAGCAGCGCTTCTCGAAGAGACCGTCGGACACCTGTTGTGGAGGAGGCTGCCGCCTCTTCCTCAACAGCCGCTGAATCCTGACATCGGCCGTGAGTTCCGCGGGCTTCAGACCTCCTGCGGGTTGCAAATTCACTATGTTTACGGAAGCTTGTACAGTCTGGTCTGAGTTTTAGGGTCTCCGTGTGACCGTTCATGATTGGGTTCTCTTAGAGCAAGAAAGGACTATATGGATACTACGGGTTGTATATTTGGTGCACGGCATATGGCTAGCCATGTCCGGGACTGTTTGTGACCGACACCAAGTACATTCCTTCGTGGAGTGTAGTCTTTTACTCCGTTGTCTTGTTGCGCGCGCGATGAAAGATTGGACAAGAAACCTGGTTGATCCTGCCAGTGTCAGCAGTCATACACCGATGAAGTCCAGCCTCAGAACCTGGAGTTAAAGCTGGAGTTCAAAAAGCGGGGTGTCACACCAGCTTGTCGGGTGTGCATTTACACGTGTTTTGGTTGTGGCACACCCGCTTTTCGGATGCGACTCGGGCGCACCCTCTTTAACTCCAGCTTCCAGGCTGGACTTCACCGTGTTTGTTGCAAGGACCAAGCCATGCAAGTCTCAGAGGAAATTAATTAACGGTGGGTCTGCAGACAGCTCACTTAATCGGTAGCAACCTACGCGGGGGAAAAAGCCTTCTTGGGCCCAGTTGGATAACAACGCAGCCACTCTTTACGGGGGACGTACGTGAGACGATGCCAAAAATGGGGTACGCGGCCTACGAATACCTACCGGAACCCGTAGCTTGAGGTCGAATGGGTCCAAACTCATCCGGGAAGCCTTCTTCGGAGCATCGAACCCCGTTTCTCTGGGTTTAGAGGTCGCTGTTCGAGGAGAGGTCACATACCCCACATCGTACTTCGCCAGAATCGTTCTGGCTAAGCTCTCCCTCTCCACCGTGTCACGTTTCTGGGTACCTTGAGCAAGATAGTCGGCACGTTCCAGGGGCACAGGCGTGTACGGTACCCCGGTAAAGAAATGTAACTTGGTAGTCGAGCACTTGCCAGGGGCCTCAACAATGCACAGGTACAGGATGAAGAAGATTCAAAAAACGGATATTTGGCGCTTCCTTCTTTTGTGCGCACTTCGTTCAAACCTGTTTTGTTCACCCAACGGGGAGTGAGGATAGTACGCTGCCATCGATCTGTTTTTGTCCTTGACAAATTGCCTTTTGTTAGACACAAAAACTGCGTGACGCTGAGGTAACTGCATACTCATGTTTCGTTGCTCGGTGTCCACACCGGCGAGAAGGAGCCGCTCGACAACCTGCCGACATCCGGAAGCAACCGCGTGATGCAACGCCGTCCACCCGTCTGTATACGGTTTAGTGTGAAAAAGGGGGTCCTCCCCTCCTGGAAGCTCTAGCGCTCCAGGAGGACGGAAGGATCCCTACCTCCCCTGTTGGTAATATGATGGTCAACCACGCATGAAATGAAAATCAAAGACTGGCAAATGAAAGAGACTAGAACGTTAATCACTAGAGTGAGTCAATCACATTCTGAATCGGAGCAGCACTCCGCTCTAGTGACGTAGCTAACTAATATGGCACGACCTCGAACCTCACATGACATGGCGTTAACATTCCACGGAAGGGAACAGTACTCGTTCGCTTGTAAGCGGATGCAGATACACCCGTCTGCTTACTATTCGGATTAGAGCATGAACGGCGGTTCTCCGCGGCCTATACCAGCAGAAGCACGCGATTTTGGCTGGATTTAGAGGTCGCCGTTGATTACAGAATTACGCGATTTTGACTGGGTTGAGAGGTCGCCGTTGATTACAGAAGTACGCAATTTTGAGCGCAACAAATTGGCCATACCATAGTCTTGAATGTTTGCGTTGCGGACGTATGGGAGCAGCAACCGAACAGTGTCGTCGTTGCCAGTATTTGCAGCATGGTGAAGCGGGGTCCAGCCACCTGCGGCAGTTTGCATTTTTGTAACGAAGTTTGTGTCTCCAAACCACAGGATCGTAGATGGTGTATCGAGCAATGATTTCCCCCCTTATGCTCTGCGCTGGATTCTGGACTGCGTTATTGTGTACACAGGACTCGCGAGTCGAATCTGGTTTGTCGCTGGAAACGGATAAGATACACATCTGAAGACCCTGGCTCCACAAGGGAAGCAGCTGCCGTCTTGCCATCATTGGATGAGTACAGCGATAGCGGTCTTATTTTGTTGCGGCCTCCCGCCTACACGTTCTGGTGAAGGGGAGGCTAAGTTCTGGTGAAAGCAAAGTTCGGGTGAAGCTAAGTTCTGGGGAGGCTAAGTTCTGGTGAAAGCAAAGTTCGGGCGAAGCAAAGCAAAGTTCGGGCGAAGCTAAGTCAAAGCAAAGTTCGGGTGAAGCTAAGTTCTGGGGAGGCTAAGTTCTGGTGAAAGCAAAGTTCGGGTGAAGCTAAGTTCTGGGGAGGCTAAGTTCTGGTGAAAGCAAAGTTCGGGTGAAGCTAAGTTCTGGGGAGGCTAAGTTCTGGTGAAAGCAAAGTTCGGGCGAAGCTAAGTCAAAGCAAAGTTCGGGTGAAGCTAAGTTCTGGGGAGGCTAAGTTCTGGTGAAAGCAAAGTTCGGGTGAAGCTAAGTTCTGGGGAGGCTAAGTTCTGGTGAAAGCAAAGTTCGGGTGAAGCTAAGTTCTGGGGAGGCTAAGTTCTGGTGAAGCAAAGTTCGGGTGAAGCTAAGTTCTGGGAGGCTAAGTTCTGGTGAAAGCAAAGTTCGGGCGAAGCTAAGTCAAAGCAAAGTTCGGGTGAAGCTAAGTTCTGGGGAGGCTAAGTTCTGGTGAAAGCAAAGTTCGCGGCGAAGCAAAGCAAAGTTCGGGCGATGCTAAGTTCTGGTGAAGTCAAGTTCGGGCGAAGCTAAGTCAAAGCAAAGTTCGGGTGAAGCTAAGTTCTGGGGAGGCTAAGTTCTGGTGAAAGCAAAGTTCGGGTGAAGCTAAGTTCTGGGGAGGCTAAGTTCTGGTGAAAGCAAAGTTCGGGTGAAGCTAAGTTCTGGGGAGGCTAAGTTCTGGTGAAAGCAAAGTTCGGTGAAGCTAAGTTCGGGTGAAGCTAAGTTCTGGGGAGGCTAAGTTCTGGTGAAAGCAAAGTTCGGGCGAAGCAAAGCAAAGTTCGGGCGATGCTAAGTTCTGGTGAAGTCAAGTTCGGGCGAAGCTAAGTCAAAGCAAAGTTCGGGTGAAGCTAAGTTCTGGGGAGGCTAAGTTCTGGTGAAAGCAAAGTTCCGGCTAAGCAAAGCAAAGTTCGGGCGAAGCTAAGTTCTGGTAAGGCTAAGTTCCGTCCGGGCCTGAAGTATGCAAATACGCGGTGCCAAATCACGGGTCAAGAAAACCCCGGAGCGAGGGAATCGACCGAAGACCAAGGAGAACCAAAAAGGTCCTCGGCGGGGTTCGAACGTGTCACTGCAAAAGTCAGACTAGTCCCAGGTCTTTCACTCCTGTGTTCAAGAGCCTGACCGTACCGTTCAGCCTTTCCGAAGCCCGAAAAGCTGGGGGGGGGGGGGGGGGAATGTTTCTTGGGTTTGAAGAGCGCGTGGTGCTTGCACCACTGAGGCCAGGTTATTTAACCGCGGATTTAGTGAAGGATTGTGGGGGGTCGTTGTATAGTGGTTTAGCTTGAAGGGGATTGGAAAGGTTGGAAAAGGTTTTGGGGGCGTCGGTTTGTGTTTTTATTTTATTTTTCTGTTTTTATTTTTTACATAGATGGCCGGTTGATAACGTTATATAACGTTATATAACGGTCGAAAACGCAAAATAACGGAAAAAATAACGCAAATAACGGTTTTTGGGAATTTTCAGAATTTGGCCATTTTTTGCCGATTTTTCCAGATTTCGGCCAGTTTTACCCTTATTCCAGATTTCTGGCCATATTTGGTGGGTTTTGGCCATTTTTGCCGATTTTCTCAGATTTTGGCCTATTTTGGTAGTCCGTTTTTTAGCAGACGGTCGTTCACAGGAGGGGTCTTCTTCACAGATCTTTGAGCACTGAGGGTCAAACACTACCGGATTTGCCTCAAAACGAGCTGAAAACGCGCGATTTCACTCGCCACAGGGAGAAAAAAAAATTTTGCGAGGGGTCTCCTCTACAGATTTCTCCCTACACCGGTATCATGCGACGAAAATAACGTTATAATAACGTTATATAACGTTATATAACGTTATATAACGTTATATGACGTTATTATAACGTTATAACGGTCAAATAACGTTATTTTTCGACAAAAATGGCAAATAACGGTTTTATAACGGTCAATAACGGTTTTTCTGGATTTAGGGGGGGGGGGTAACAAATAACTCCGGGAATAACGTTATATAACGTTATATAACGTTATTATAACGGCCATCTATGTTTGTTTGGGGGTAATTATTTTTTCGGGGGTTCGCGTAACCCTTCTTTTCCGGAAGATAACGTTATCGTTCTTTTCTCTCTGGCGCTCTTTTTCTCTCTATCTCTCTCTTTGGCTAGCAAAGCGACTATTGCGACCGACACCACGACCACACCCGTAGTGAATGTGATCAGGGGCCCCCACGTTCTACATACACACAGGATTGTGGGGAAGGGGCGGGGGCGGGCAGTGATGGGTGTGCACGGCATGCCGTGCGCACGCCGTCGATCTTTGAGTGCGTGAGCCCCTCCGAAGAAATGCATAGTTTTGTTGAATTCTCTTCTCGAAAGGTCCACAAACTCA